TATTCTAATTCTACTTTCTTGGCATGACCGTTTTTATATGAATACCTTCAATGCTTATAACTTTTTGCTTTTGTATCTATAATTATAATACTGTTAGTGGTGAAGCTAGCCTAGCAACAGGTCATGCTACGGTTTTTAATGTCTGCATTGCAGGTCTATTAGCATACCATGATCAGTTGCCATACAAGCTTGCCACTCATTAATGTACAATACGGTCAGTATAATCTGCAGACTGCAGACCGGACTGGGCACAAAATGCAGACTGGGGGTATAAAATGCAGACTGGGGGTATAAAATGCAGACTGGGGGTGAATTAGGGATATTTTACAAATGCCTGCCCTAGAACACCATTATCTCGTTGAAAATGTTAAAACACAGATAACTTTTATTAGTTTTTCCTTCATCGTATTTACTCGATCTTTGTCGTGGTCATCGATATTAAGCATCAATCTTGAGAAATTACCACTGATTGAAATTCATGTAAGGTGCGAAGCAACATTTGTGGATGGAGGAGGGAGGGGGGGGTAGTATGATGGCAGCAGTCCCTAATCATGCTCCTATTCGTAATGCTAATCCTAATGCAATTGGTGGGTTTTCAAAAACACCACTCATATTCACACATTTTTGAAAGCTCGATCTGCAACAAAAGCACGTGACTATGGCTTGGCGGGAATTTGTGAAATATCCCTAATTCACCCCCAGTCTGCATTTTATCCTCAGTCTGCATTTTGTACCCAGTCCGGTCTGCAGTCTGCAGATTATACTGACCGCTGTACAATAATACCATATGTATAAACAATAATAATACTTGAATGAATCCATTGGACATGTAGAACTTAATAACAATTTCATATATAGAAATACTAAGTCAATGGCATATCGTTTTAATGGCACCTTCAAGGCTACGCCTATTGCAGAACAACTGAACAATCTGCTGATGGGGAGACAAAATCTATTTGTTAGTGACATTTTTGTTTAACACGTCAGCTTCAGAATTCAGATGACACCATTCTTTGTAATGACTAAGATTGTACACATGTCAGACAGAACTGCAAAACTATATAATAAGAAAGAAATTGTGAGCATTATCGAGAAATATAGTTATATAGTATACCCTGAAATGCGGTGACACAGCCAGGTGAATATATGAATGAAGGCCAGTAGGATTACTTCATATTGTGCTATAAACAATGAACATATCTCAATAGTATATTTTTAGTCTGACCGTCACACCTTGTATTAACTGCATGCTGGTAAGTTAATATATGCAGACAACAATCCACACTGGGTTGATAGGAATATATTTATATAAAGGCTGATTATTAAGACATAGAGTTTGTGATGAATATGCTAAAGATATGAGCTCCCATAGCCATAGGTGCATTTTAATATTTGATATGTATGACTAATATGTATAGGCTAGTATAGCATGGTAAAAGCTGAGTCAATAAACAGAATCACATTCACAGACATTTCTCAGCACTATATTATCTCCTATATATTTAGCATATGTAATGTTTTGGGCGAACAAAATCGAACAAATTGACATACCTCTAAAGGATCTCCCTTTCTCACAACACTTGAATATGATAAGGCCAGTATTTACACAAAAAATGTCTTTGCTTCGCTCCTGGCCTGGTGTTTATATATGCCACAAACTCACAAAGCAGCAGATCGAAATATTTTTAAACGCCATTCTTGGAACGTCGTTCGCAGATCGCTCAACAAAGTATTCGGCAGTCATCGATTTGCTACCGTAAACTCCTGGGGTATGATAATGCTCCAATGTAAATTCCTTACTGCAACGTCATAATATGACGTCAAACTGCCGACAAACACCAAAAAATCGAGATACACTGCAAGTGTATAAAACTGTTGGCGGGAAATTCAAATGCGCTATAACACATCGTCAAGAATAGGAGGCTGCCTTCGACAGCAATTATTACTATATTTTTAGATGAAGAGATATTCTTTTATATACTGTACTGTAGTCTAGATTATAACTGTTAACGATAATATAACTATAACTAAGGCCATGTAAAAAAATATCCCGGTTTATCATCAGTGGCAGCAGAAAAACCTGTGCGGGCGGGCCGATTTTTTTTTTACCAAATCACATTTAGTACCGGTAGGTGCACAGAAAAAATATTCTCAAACACGCAGCACAGTTGTATGTAATAATGCTATTACACTTTTCATTAATATTACAATTGCCAAGGCCCAAGCGTAATATCATACACGTTGTCAATATATGAACTCGTGTTTTCAAAATGGCCGACCATTGTGAAAATCTCGCATGGGTTCCTCCAAAGGTCCGCCTGAAATAGTGATTTTTTAAAAATAAAAAATAAAAATCCATGTGCACAGCATGAAAAATGGATGCAGGCACTGATGATAAACCAGGATATTTTTTACATGGCCTAACTAGATTATAACTAATATTGTTATTGACCACGAAACAGTGTTTGAGTTCAGTTATATGTTTGGCAACAATGTCACTGTATAGTTTATTTAAAGTTTATTTCATGTACAGTACTTCAAATATACATATACTTCATTAATTACAATTACTCTTTTGTGAAAGCAAATGGCATTAGGCGTAAGAAAAAATACCTGTGGTTCCGGTTTCATATCGTGAAAAAATTAGGGTCAGTAGGTTGGAAATAATTTTTTTTTTGAATATTTTTTTCATGGTTTTGCCAGTTTTTTTGCTGGGCGATTTGCAGTAGAGTCCCGACATTAAAGTGCTTATGTCACAAAAATTTATTTTTGATATTTGGTAGAGGACAAAAAGTTAGTTAATAGGTTCTTTAACATTTTTCGGTTTTCTCTTTTCATTCGCGAGATATGAGGCTCTAAACCTTGAAAAATTGGCTTTTAGCGAAAAATTGTCGCGCCCGAGAAAAAAACGGAAAAGGGTCTGGGGCGAGACCAGTGTGACGTAGCTTAAGGGACGGAAGTTCGAATTCACATGTGAAGGAGAATTAAAAAGCTATTGGGAAGACATATGTGTTTCAGCAGTCATGGTTCTTAATGTGACTCAGAATACAATTATATTCCTAGGTATATTATACAGGATGAATCAAATGATACTAGTCACGAAAATGAAACTCTAGAAGCAGTTGATAGCGAAATTTTAGGCGATTATGATGCATATTGTCTTTATGCCGATGAGCCGCTAGCGAGCCAAGAATGCTATGCGCGATAAAAGCTACGCGCGATATTTAAAACTTTGCGGAACACAAGGAACAAAACAAGATGCTAGGACGAAGATTACACAGCCTTGAAGATATTAAATCATGGTGAGAGTAAACATAGATTTATTTAACATTTTAACGGCGTAAAATAAGTATCTCTGGCTGATATATTTTTGATACGGCATCAGTCACATCAAACCCTAACCTGTATCATATTTCACAAGTGTAAATGCGGCGATTGTGTGATAATACATATACAATATACACACGAAGCTTGGTGCTGTCAGGAGATGGAATCTTGTAGGGATGTTCTGAAGGATAACTTCGTTTTAGAAGATGTGCCACAGCCGCCATGCTGTATCACTCTGCACTCGGGATTCAGACCTATTTGTTTGGAAAAATGGGCTTTAAGAATTGAACTTGCGAGAAAATACAATCGTTCAATCGTTCATATTAAATAAACGTGATCACAGAGAAACACTGTAGCTTCAAACAAGAATATATACGTAATTTGCTCTGAACCAGTCCGTTTATATTTTCTTTGATCTCGTGTCTTGTATTTTCTTGCGAAGGTGAGGGAAGTGTGGTTTTAACTCTTTGTTGTGACTGATGCCATATGAGCCCGTATCCCGCAAAATATATTAGCCAGAGATACTTTACATTTTACGTTAAAATGTTAAAATAAATCTATGTTTAGTATACACTCACCATAATTTAATATCTTCAAGGCCATCTAACCTTCGCTGTAGCATCTCTTTTTGTTGCTTGTGTTCTGCTGAATTTCTGAAATATCGTGCGTACCATTCTCCGCCGGCTAGCGGTTCATCGGCATAAAGGCATGCATCATAATCGCCTAAAATTTCGCTATCAACTGCTTCTAGAGTTCCAATTTCGTGACTAGTATCATTTGATTCATCCTCTATAATATATCCAGGAATATAATTGTATTCTGAGTCACATTGAGAACTATGAGTGCTTTCCGAATCCGAGCTACTGCCTGACATGCTGGAAAATATATCAAATGTATAATGCGCGTCGAAATTAAGTCCCTTAAGCTACGTCACACCACGCTCGTCCCAGACTCTTGTTGATACGCGACAATTTTACGAAAATCGCTGTTTAGAGCCTCGTATCTCGCGAATGAAAAGAGAAAACCGAAAAATGTTAAAGAACCTATTAACTAACTTTTTGTCCGAGCTATCAAATATCAAAAAAATTTTTGTGACATAAGCACTTTAATATTAACTAGAGATGCGAATTTCCTATGGACGAATTTAGGCAATTGGCCCACAATAATTAGTGTGACAACAGATGCCATTTTGGTACGCTGTATGAACAGCCTGCAACCACCTGGAGAAAATAGGGTTGCACGGTCAATCGCATTGAAAAAATAATAGGGTCGGCAGAAAAAATAGGGTTGGTCGGGAACCGGAACAACAGAGTTTTTTTTACGCCTTATTACTACACTGGCACATTTTATTGAAAATGCCGACCAGCTGATTTTTTGCTAAATATTCAGAGGCCTGTAGTAGCAAGCGCCAAACGCAAAGACTAGTTTCTTCACTTTCTTGAATAAATCTGAATTGCTTTCACATTTTTCTAGTTCTTTTGTGTCTTTTGCTCATAAAAATGAAAATTGTGTGCCCCCACCCTTGGGAACCGCTATTATTTTAATAATGAAATACTTCTTGTGGAATTTCTATAATTCATCTGTTAAGAAAGGTGAAGGGGTTTCTGCATGCATGTATTTCTAGTAATATATTTGAGAGAGGCTTGCTAAAAAAAACTCAATGTTATACTTACAGAGGTTTCTTGGCATTGTCAGCACCCATCTGCCTCAACTGATGTTGAGCTTGTAATTTACATTTGATCAATTCAGTTGGACAAAGTGCAAATGATGTAATAAAAGCTGCAATACTCCCAGCACAAGCATTTTGAAAGATACTCAATTCATCAACATGAGGAACTTGAAAGACAGTTTGAATTATAGTTTGACATCTCCCATAACAAAGGAACAGGATAGAATTCTCGGCTATCTGAGTGGCAAGTGCTGGTCCAGTTCCAGCATATAGACCACGAAATCTTTCCTCTTTTAATGTTCGCTTGAAACAATCAAACGCGTTTTTATAAAGATTTGGAAACACTTGCATCTTTACTTTCACTGTATCAAAAGGTTGACCGGCAAAGACACAAGCTGTCCCTGCATTAGCCCCGGCAATAAAATCAACAATCATGGCACGATAGTCTAACAACTTCACGCTAGACATATCTTCGCTACTGCCTGTGCTTTGATCTTTGATAATCTCTCGTTGATTCATTTTGCCAGACTCCATGTTACTTCTATAACAACACTTAAATCCCGTTATAAAAATAAATTCTTTAACAATGTTCCACCATTCTTTATTTACAAGCAAATACAACGTTTAACAGGTCAAATTTGTATTGCGTTCTTTTTGATCTTTTTGTATTTTCTATCTCTTCAAGTTGCTGGTCGATAAATTGCGGGCGCAGTGCAACTTGCAAGGGCGTTACCAGTGGGCGTTACCAGTGGGCGTTACCAGTGGGCGTTACCAGTGGGCGTTACCAGTGGGCGTTACCAGTGGGCGTTACCAGTGGGCGTTACCAGTGGGCGTTACCAGTGGGCGTTTCCAGTGGGCGTTACCAGTGGGCGTTACCAGTGGGCGTTACCAGTGGGCGTTACCAGTGGGCGTTACCAGTGGGCGTTACCAGTGGGCGTTACCAGTGGGCGTTACCTAGACTTACCACAAGTCGACCATGGGGGAGGGCAATTGCTAGATAGTATACTTCAAAATAAGGTTTCCATTTTTATATCAATTTTTAAAACTAGGAGTTACTATCGCAAGGAAAATGCTGCCGATATGTACATGTAGGATGTGCTACAAAAAGAGCGTTTTTCACTGTATGTATGATTTATTGTCTTACACATCGTCGTTCCTCAGTCACCTTCGTACAATTATATCTTACATCTAATCTTATGAAAAGTATATTTTAATATACTAATAACAGTGCGACTTTGATAGTTGACACATAATACAAATGATAAAATGTGAATATTATTGAATGATTTTGTCACTCGTACAACTTTTAATTTGGCTATTCAAACAATTGATTTAAAATAGTTGAATTTATATTTACTGGGATGTTATTGCTTATTGGGATGTTGAAATTATGTTTGTTTTAAATACATTTAATTGATATTCCATAAATTCATTTTGTATGATTTCATTGACCTTGACGTTGTTCAAAATCATTTTGTATTGTATTGAAACTGTATGTTTATGACCTATGTTATGTACTATATTAACCCATTGAGTCGCATTGCACCCTGATGCACCCTACTTTGAACAGTATTTTACTCTGTCTAACGCCAGACGATTTTACTCGTCAGGGGGAGAGTGCTGGCGCTTAATGGGTTAACTGATCTATCTGCCCATGTGTCTAGTTAACCCATTGGGTCGCATTGCACCCTGATGCACCCTACTTTGAACAGTATTTTACTCTGTCTAACGCCAGACGATTTTACTTGTCAAGGGGAGAGTGCTGGCACTTAATTGGTTAACTGATCTATCTGCCCATGTGTCTAGTTAACCCATTGGGTCGCATTGCACCCTGATGCACCCTACTTTAGTATTTTACTCTGTCTAACGCCAGAGTATTTTACTCTGTCTAACGCCAGAGTATTTTACTCTGTCTAACGCCAGACAATTTTACTCGTCAAGGGGAGAGCGCTGGCGCTTAATGGGTTAACACGCCCAAAATCTGTACTAAAACTGCTAATTCTGTTTTGTGATTGGCACAGTTTAATCAAAGAATCCTCCCGTTGAACCAGAGCCTTCACGATATTTCAATTTATTATTAACTGAAGGCTCTGGAATCCAGGATAGCTTGCCATTGAATGCAGTGCAATGCTTATATTTCTGAATGAATAAGATCATACTCAGAACAGTCAGAACTGCAAAACTATATTGTTAGAAAGAAGTTGAAGTTGTGAGCATTATTGTTGTAACACAGCCATATGTATATATCAATGTATGTCAGTAGAATCATGTTTATAGGCTTTATATATAACTGAGGCCTTATACAAGTCATATCTTATACAAAAGTCAGTTGATATGCTATATTACATGTAATTGCTGATAAGTCCATATATGCAGACAACAATCCACACTGGGTAGCTCTAGGAATCTTGTTAAGCCTGATTTAACAACATCCCGCATTTGTTTTTAAACTATAAACATTTAGAAATAGAACGTACCGAACACTATTATATACTCACCGCCTTTGGCTTTGCACATATTAAGTGACATAACAAACAAATAAACTAAAAGTTCATTTGCTTCTTGTATCAGCATAAAGGCATTAATCATTACTGTCGATTTGGTCGGGAATAGATCAGTGATTCAGTGGGTATTATAATTGCAGATATATTCTTGAAATCATTTTGTTTCAATGCCTCTATATCGAAGTTTAATACACTAAAGTGACTAAACAAGTATAAACAGCAGATTTAAATATAAATGCCTTCATGTATTATAAAATATATCACCAGACAGGTAGACAGGGCACACGGCACGACTACATCACTATACGAGAACGAAATAAAGCCATCCTTACCTGAATTATTCAAATATTGTCGATCATTCTTGCGCCAGAGACACAAAATAACACCGTGCTTTATTTACCCATTCATCTTCACAAATATTACTCGGAATTTTTATGGAAATTCGCATTATTTTATGATTTTATATTTCTGTCCGTTTATAACAGTCGCCATGTTGTGAACAAACCCCCCCCCGGGAACAAAAAAATAATATCAAAACAGCTAGTTTTGGCCCGTCCGTGGATGACAGAATGACATAAATCGAGATTGTAGCGGCTATAAACTCGGCGGTCACGTGGTAAGCACACCACGTGTAGAGATTAGTGTGCTGCCGAGCTACGCTCGGCAGCAATAAGCGCCCTGTTTGAAGCTATTCACTGGAAATACAAGCTCTTATGATTTATACAAGTAAGTGCAATAATTTAAATATATTACGTTATGATGTTTTATTCATATACGATTTATTAATGTTTTATTCATACTCATAACACAGCTCTTAGTTGGACCCCCTGTGGTGAAAGTCTGCCAGTCTAGCGTTAGAGAAAATAAAATAATGAGGTAAATAATTTAGAACTGCATTTGAATAACTATGAAGCAAATATGACCAGAAATGTTCAAGAATCAAGTTCACAACCTGCGAACGGGCGTACCCTGCCTTACAAAATTAGGGAATTCGTTACAGTCTGCGGAAAAGGCATGTCATGTCTAACGTCTCCAAAATGAATTCGCTCGTGTGAGCAAATCAAATATTTTAGGTACATTTTCATGGCCACTGGCGTGACAACTGTACGTTGTCAAGGTTATAAGTTTGTTTTTGTCCCACACAGACATGCTTATGCAGTCAGTCAATGCCAGATTTTGGTGGAAATTGGAAAAAATTCAGGGAAGGTGCAGCGATCTAACTCAGCCGCCATGGAATGTTATAGCATAGGACGTACCCCCGCCCCCCCCCCAAGTCAACTACGTGAGGTATGCATATGTATCAGTGTGTGCGACTCATCCAATTTCGCCCTTCATTACATTTCCTACGTTTCTTTTGAAACATTGTATTAAAAGCGAGATTAGGGACTGGTCATAAAGTAACTGCTAGGGTGGGCTGGAGGTAAATCACAAATTTTGCCAATAAGTTCGGTGACCCATCTTAGGATGTAGATAAAAATTTCAAAGCCCATCTAATTTTACAAAAACATTTTCATAACCCACCCAATCTAAATTGGGAAAATACACTTTTATAATAAAAAACCCCTGCAGGTATGAACATTGTAAATATACACAGCACTGTATTGACGCACATAATTCCACCAAGCTTGACCAACACATTGATACTGAGCTGCTCTCCAGTTGGTTGTATTTGCTGTGATTCGACCACTTCTTGTTGTTGTATAAACAAAGTATACTGGCTTCAATAGCATCATTTGCATTTGATAATTTGGATAGTTTTGTTTACTTTTATTATTAATATCTTTATTTTTTTAAGTAGACATGCATGGGTTTTTGTTTGGTGGCCCAACCGTGGACACACAAAAAAATTGGCGGCCCATCGAAACTGCCCAAAGATTTTCCATGGCCCATCCCAAATCACTCCAGCCCACCCTAGCAGTTACTTTATGACCGGTCCCTTAAAAGGGTACTGGCATGGACAGAGATGAGTGGCTATCATCGACTAAGTTTTTACAAAGTCTAGACTCTAAGCAACACATAAAAAAATTGTCACACTTTCATTTAACCTTTCCCACGGGGAGATGCATGACTTTTCAAGGCAGGTGCAAAAAATCTCAGGTGATGTGCAGAACGATCTCAGGTGAGGTGCCCACCTCATAGATATCTTATATACACTAGATAGCGCATCTCTTTTAGTAAAATTGAAGCCAAGAATATTCCAGCGGTTACCCCCATTTGAATAGATGGCGGCCACGTTGGAGTTTCCCACTCGCTAATAAACGCTTAAAAAACAATAATAACTTTCATCATTTGAATAGTTTGAAAATGTATTTAGAATAGGTTTAACTTAATGTTTTTAAGTTCCCGGGTTAAGAAATAGAAAACATACGAGTCTTCTCATTTCATGGGAATATCCTGAGTCTGCAATAACGGCTTCAATTTTTGAATTGCAGAATAATTAGATGCACTATCTGGTGCATGTACACGCGTAAAAATTGAGAAAATCAACAACTTGTTCCAGGTTGATATCAACAGGCGTGAACAAGGTTGTGCGGCCCACTATGAAGAGTATAGACCATTTGCACTGACGTCACAAATCCTTAGAGTGTCCTCCAGATGCTCCCTAACAATATCTGTTCGGGTACAACAACCACATACAGCGCAAAAACTAACCATTTTAATACAAAATTATTATAAAGTTTTACAAAATTTGCTTTGTTCATAAAGTTATATTATGCATAGATTGCTAATTTGTCCTCCAGATGCATCGTCGCCGGCGCTGTGACGTCATGTGCAATGGGTCTATTGTCAACATGTTGCTGCAGCATTGTTCAACTGTAACAACTTGGAACAACATGGTTGACAACTTGTTCATAGTTGGCCGCACAACATTGTCCACGCCTGTCGATATCAACTTGGAACAACCTGTGCGTTTTTAGTCGTGTATACAAGATATCTATGATCCACAAACGTAAAAATACCCCCTTAGGGCAATTGCTATAAACAGTCGATTGATGCTTCACGAACTAGTCAATGACAATATCAAGCCCAGTACATACGAACACGTTTTCATTGACACGTTTACCTTCTCGTGTCAACAAGTTTCCTTGACAAGTTTACCTTGGCCTTGACAAGTTTACCTTGGCCTTGACAAGTTTTTTGCTTGTCTGCACGGAATGTTTTTAAACATTTATCTCACGTCAAGCCCGCCTTTTGTTTACCAAAACCACAGAAGTATTTCTCGTACATTTGTCAGTCAAGTTTTCCTTGGCAGCCGCACACACGAACAAATATTCCCTGTCCAAAAGCTGGCATGACTAACTTTGGAACCGAAGGGCCAAGGCTCCTTGGCAACTAGGAAAAATTCTCAACGTGTTGCCGTACACAACTCACAAGAGCAAAGAAAACTTCTCACGGGAAAGGTGTCGGCATTGTTGTTCAAAGGTGTATATTAGCGCGCTAACGCTGGTACATCTGCAAACCGTTTCTTTCAAAATTATGCAAAATATTACATGTACTGATACGGACAATATCTCTGGAGAAAATACCATGTTTACAAACAAGCAGGCGGCAATATTGCTTTGAAGTATTTCGTGAAATTGCCAAATTGGGAATAAGCTAATCGGCTCTTGAACAATCGCGCAGCTATAATATTAATAATTCAAGCATATTCATCATCTATCGCCAGAGATAACACTAGATTTTGACTTTTTCTTTCGCGCTACAATATTCAACATTTACATCTCACGTAATAGCAGCATATGAGCTATGTACGCAATATCCTCTTCTCCAAATGTGACTAAATAGTCGAAACTCTATCTTATCTATAACAAACTGCAGCATTTGGTTAGAATTTTATTGCAAAGTTCTAGAATGGTAAACGGTTAAGTACTGATTATAGAAATATCAACATGCAATCCTAGAAAATATATTTCTCTTCCTATCAGCAAAATCCAAAAATACAAATTTCCTGTCTATGAAGTAAAATATAAAACTTCCTACATATGTACAGTAGATTTCAACTTTTAAACAATAAGTCAAACTGTCTTCAGGGGGGGGGGGGCAGGTTTGCCAAGGGGCGCCTTACAGCCCACTCTCCTCTGCAATCTGTAATGCTACTATCCGAACATTAATACCATTATTTGAGATGGCCGAATCTGCATCTTTGGCTTTGCCGTGTTACGTTTTACATTACCTTCTGTTTATAAAGTTTATATCGGCTTTTTATCACTTATGCGTGACTGGACAGTTGCTGTAGCACAGTACAGTACATTTGCTTGTGAAAGTACAGTATATTTGAAACTATGAGCATGGCTGTATAGCAACCTCGACATGTTTACATACAGCGAGGAGTGTAGTGGAAAGAGCCTGGGTAGTACATATTTAACCATGATATTTAAAGGTAGGGTACAGTCCGTATGTAAACAAAGCCTTTGTTTACATTTTGGTATTCAAAATATTGAACTTTATTCGACAACTATTTATATTTTCATCTTCTACAGTATAATAAATTATCAAGATACAACCATCAGGTTTTGCAAGAACATAAAATGAAATAAAAACCTAATTAATTAAAGAATAAAGTGTTTATATCACGGCAGGAGACTCATATGTGCGCATGCGTAGACAGGACTTACCCTATCTTTAACTAAAGCATTCTGAGCATTTCCTCGTGAGCTCACAAATCAATTAAATCGTTTCAAGAAATCGACACGCGCTAACAGTAGAAGTTCCACTAATTGCTATTCGAAAAGCAGAAAATGTATGGTCAAGCAGATTTTTTAGGGTGATGCTGGACCTCTCCAGGAGGGCGCTGGACCCCACTAGGTGGGGTGCACACCCCTAGCACCCCACTGTAGATCCGCCCCTGATCCCAAATGAGAACACAAATATCCCACTTCTGGAAACTGGTTAGTATAAATTTTGGCATCTCTGAACAATCAAAGTATAGAGTGGTACACATGACTCAACAGTCAACAACTGGATCGCCAAGTTATAAATCAAAGACTGGTTATTTTCAAGAAGACAGGCTGATAGTATTCAAAGCTATTGGGAGATCACTGGACTGACTGGAGACATTTAGCATTATCTTAATATTTGAAATTTTGTAATATCCAGTCAGTATACACCAAGGGTGGGTTGACTACAAAATTTTTGTAGTTCGCTATAACTACAGCTACTTCAGAAATATGTAGTCAGCTACAACTACTGCTACTTTTGAACAAAGGTAGTTCGCTACTGACTACAGCTACTGCTTAAAAAATGTAGCGAACTATTTCGCTATTTCGCTACACTATATTTTTTAGTTTTACTATATTTGGAGCATCTACTAACTCAGGCTGTAATGTAATCTATAACAAATCGACTTACGAGTAGCAACAGTAAACACAAAGCAACATTTTTGTAAGCACTACAGTGTTCAGGAGTGCAAATTGACTATTGAGTATTGATTTTAAGCAAACTGTGTTTCAATATCATGGCGCTATTCTATCAGGTTGCTAACAATTTTAAAAAGTAGCGAATAGCGATTCGCTGTTTGAAAAGTAGTCAACTACTTGGCTACTTTTAGGCAACATGTAGTTCGCTATAACTACAACTACAGTTTTAAAAAAGTAGTCAAAAACTACTGGCTACTTGAAAATTGTAGTTCGCTACAGTAGCGAACTACAACTACTTCGCTACAACCCACCCTTGGTATACACATCATTCACAGTTTGGTATCCAAAACCATATTTTAGTATCCTGTGGATATCAGGATACTGCAAATGTCTAACCTTGAATGTAGTACCAGTCAACCTAAGTAACCATGAAGCTTAACCCATTAAGCTGCATTACACCCAAATGTGTCCTACTCTATTATCTTACTCTGTTTATAACACCAGACAATTTTACTTGCCCAGTAGCTTTAATGGGTTTATTGCTAATTTTTCAATTACTAAACCCTGATATCCTATTACAAAACACTTGGACTAAAACAAGATTTAAGTGCAGAAATTTGCTGAAAAGGGTGGTAATATGTCGGAAACCTAGAATCTCAATAATGGTCTACAATTGTCTGCAAAGAGTCTGCTAGGATGGAGGTGTCCATAAATTGACGACTACTTTATAAAAATGTTTCCAAACTTGGCACTGTGCACCCCTATGTCATTAATGAAAGTTTTTCCTATGTTTAGCTCCATTTGTCTTTAAATTCTCTACTTTAAATTCTTACCTTATTCCAAACTTGTTTCATATATTTTTTGTGCTTTTTGTATTTGTTGTAGTTTTCTGTATATTTGTATAAATATATCCTGTAATATGATTTACATTTTAAGGTTTATACTAATTTGATTTGACTAAATCCATCTGACAGGTTTACAGGGTCTAAGCTAGGATTTTAGATCTTGGGCGTGTTTCTAATGACCAGGGTGTGCACATGTCAATTATCTTGAATAGCCAAATTCACGGTTCTAGTTATGCTCGCCAACAACAGACAATGCCTGTGGTTGTTCTACGCTTTGCAACCAAATACAAGGCGAGCATATGCTACTATTGCGCACTGACATTAGAATATTAAGTTATTTCAGCAACTCTTGGGGGTACTTAAAACCATTTTAACACCATACAGTTCCCATTATCCATCAAAACATTAAAACATCACGGATCACTTTCGCCAATTGCAACAACAGTAGATTTTACAAACTTTCTTACGATATAAATAGGAAGAAATTCTGTCTGTTGTAAGTACCGTAGCACCACCCCATTTTATGAACCTACACGGCCTTCTACAAATAATGAAGCCGCGTTCATTTTATATCTAGCCGTGTTTTCCACTTTTGGCCGCGATAACACGGCCAACACGGCTCTCTAGCTAAGACCCTGTTTTTTTGTCATGTGATCGCTTTTATATTCACTAGTATAAAAGCTCATGTAATTTTCCTGACGCCCACTACTAACTTTCTGACAAAGAGACTTCATTCAAAACATTGAAGTATTTGCAGGTAGTTGTAACCCCATCAATCCGAAGCTTTTTTAAAAATATTAGCCTACTATAATTATATCAGTGGCCAGTTCACTGTAGGTCCTTCCAAGCCTCACTCAAATTCACATATACCTACTAATGGCAATCAGAAGCCACATTGCTAGATTGGTTTGTTCATTATCACATGAACTTTTAGAATTGTGGGGCATTTTAGATGCATCATACATGCAAAGTACAAGAGCATGTCCCAATATATTAATTGAAGCGAGTTTTTGAGCATGTTCATTGCCAAGGAAGGAACGTTATCCTAGGTTCTGATGAGTTTAAGGGGCTGTTAATGTGGAGCCTGGTTCGCCCATAGTTAACCGGGATGATTTGTTTAATAAGGCCTTGATAAATATCCAAAATGAATTAGCTTAGTGTGATTCTAGTAGCAGAATATAATTCAGGAAAAAAATTTGACACGATTTATCTCGGCCGGCTAACCCTGGGTTGTATGAATAGCCCTTAATTAGGTGGCCTTTACAGAAGCCTATTGAAGGGTTGACCCGGCTATCGTGTGAACACTGAGAGACGGGTTGATCTGGCTTACCCTGAGTTGATAGCCAACCAGGTCAACCCTTTCACACCTTGCCAACCCGGGGCGCTTTTCTTGAGACCTAGGACACCCTTCTCGAGACCCAGGGCACCCTTCTCGAGACCCAGGGCACCCTTCTCGAGACCCGAGTGGACAAGGTACGAAGGCATGAAAATTTTGCTTACTTGTTCATGGGGCCTGCCCCTACGCTCATGTAAAGTCAAGATGGTGCATAAATCTAGATGCACATCCAAATAAAACAAAGTTGAAGTGACATTTCAAATATCTTACAACAAAATTCAACGTCCCTCAACAAGTCCAAATGACTAAATGACAGATCTTTATCGTAAAAATGATTTTCCTTGTGTTGTGGTCTCCAGAAGCTCTGATACTCTTCAATGCAGGATGCTTTAGAACAAGTAAATTGGCTTACATAAATGGGATATATCGGAAAAATAGTGTGTATAATAACGATAGAGAAATGGACAGAAAAAAAATAGCAGAACCTCAATTGAATGTCGGCTGGCTAAAGCAAACCCAAGTTGAAAACAAATGAGGTGTTCATGTAAATATCACCCAAAAAACCAACCCCATGAGTTCTTTCAAACCCAGGATGAAAATCAGCATGTAAGCTGGGCAAAGGGTTTAAAGCAAATATCTGACAAAATGTAGGATTAGATGCCTTAAATCTGCTTTGTAGTCTAACAAAACAGGGCCATTTGCTCCCACCTATTATAAATCAGTGTCATGACCTTGAGTCAAATTAGGAGACAATGAACGGGATGGTCTGTGAAATAAGGCCACAAAGACACATCTTTATGAGAAACACCAATTAGACACACTGAAATACGAAAGGAGGGGATATTAGCGGTGACTCTCAAGCTATAATCCCACTGAGAGAAGATTTTACGATAAGAAAACAATCTTTTCCTATTATATATTGGAACTCGCTTTTTTTACAGTAAAACCACAACAAAACACAGGTTTAATTTTTAATCGTCAACAAAATAGCTCAAAATATATCAAGTCATTTTCCAGACTTCCTATACCAGCCCCGAGTCCAATACCAAATTAATAAAGTTTAAACTTTAATATGGAAGTAAACACTAAATTTAAAGCCAAAATGCAGAGCGAAAATCATTAAAACACATTTGCAAGTGCGAATATTATTCGCTAATGATGTCGCAAATTCTTTTGGAACAAATAATTTCGGTACAAGTTGTCCCATTAATAGGCTTTTCGAAAGTTCGTATTCAACAAAAATTGAGACAAATTCGATACGTCGAGCTTGCATTTTCAAAACACAATAACTACGGCAATACTTAAAAGCACGTAAAAAATAATTCGAGGGTTATTTTCCTGTTAAAATTAATCAAGCCAAGAATCTTTTGTGTTCTGTCGCGAGCTTATGGCTGGAAGGCAAGTTTGGATCAAAGTGAAAACGCAAAATGTTTCCTCCTATTGGACGCGTTGTATTAAATCGCAACTTCGAATCTGAAAGGCGGAGCCTAGCGTATCAAAAACAGGAGATTAACAAAAAATACGAGAAAAACAACGCCATAACTGCAAATATGTGAGTAAAATAAACCAGAGTCATAACTTGTGTCATCATGAGCGCCCGTGGTTCGGACAAGAACCCCCGAATGTTTGTCCAAATGTTCCACAAAGCAAAACCTTCTACTTTAAAACGATTTCCAGTCTAAGTTTAACATTCAAACGTTGTTTACGGAGGGAACGCGAAGTGGCGCTGCGAAAAATAAAGGGTCACCTAAAACAACAACGCTTTACTGCTGTGCACCGCTAGAGAATCTGAGGGGAATATATTATTTAATAGCACTTATTTACCTCGTAAATCGATAGCTTTGATTTCGCTATGCCGTCGTGTAACGACTATATTAATTTCTACGAATATAATGAATGTTTATTCGTCAATTTGCCATACAAAGAGGGCATATAAATGTACAAACTTAGGGAGAAAATGTTGACATTTTAATGAAGACGCGCCAGCCAGACACAGGCCAACACAAAAATACGACAAGGACAATTTCAGAGCGACCAGACATCTCAAGCGCTCTTGCGGTTCAATTCAAAGCAATAATTCATAAAGATACTACGAAAGAGACGATTTATCCATCGGCAAACAATATTAAAACATCGTTTGCCGAAAGCATCTCGCCATTAATAACCTGACCTATATCACAAGATTAGACGTTTGCATGATGCCGAACTCCGGATAGAATTTCGCCGCTTTTTACGCATTTTCAACCGGTCAATTTAAGTCTTCATACATAACATCGTAACTACAACTCACCTGGGCCTCCTTGCTTTCTTTCTTGTGCTCATAGTGGCGATATTTCAATAGAAAAAGCGGCAAAAATCGTTTTCAAAACACGAAATTAGAAGCTTTGCGTCGAACGTAACTACAGCGGATCAGCAATACAATAGCTTCGTTCTGATTGGTCAATGTTCGCCTTCGTCATACATTCTATTCCATTATCAACACTGTGTTGCATTACAGTCATATAAACATATATTATTCAGTTATTCAATGGGCATTATGCATAATAAATAGCTTGTCGAATATGTATATTTTCGTGTTGTAATAAGATAACTTTCCAAGATAATAAAAAAATGCTTTTAAATCAATTATTTCTTACTAGGTTTTTTTATTTCCGAATCAAAATAGCGCGTAATTGTCCCCTCCAAAATTATCCATTCTTGTGGTTTCGCTTAGTCATACTAGTTGTTTTGAAAATGTTATTGTTTTCTGACGCATTTGCATGTTTACAGTGGTCTTAAGGCTTCCTCTTGAATGACTTTTAATGGCTTAAATCGTTCAACTCAGCACGAATTCGTATCAATTCTTTATTACAACTCTCGTCGATCGGTAAACGTTGGAAAAAAAAGGGCGGTCAATTTAAATTACGGGCAACTGTGACTTGTGGCTAACCGCAAATTTGAAATTTAATTTCATATTTTTTGTTTTATTTATGCAATTAAGTTTTGCGGTTTTCAAATTTTAAAACTTTCAGAAAAAGTTACTAAAAAAATAAGATAAAAAATCGGTTTAATTTTTCAATTTTTAGGTTTTATTCAATTTAAAATGCACTGGAGTCTAAACGACTAGCATGGCACAGCCACACAGACCTTGTTTGACGTAATTATACTTTATTATTTCAATTAACTTGCTTTGTTTACGGTTCATGGGAGACATAAAGCCGATAGGAATTCGATAGACCGAATAGCAAAAACAAGATTCAAGACAAGAGTTGGGGGCGTTACGTCTGGTCAGGATGTTAAAACTTTTTATATTGCATTCCAAGCATAATTTTCTTTCATTTCATTTTCAATATTTATTTTGGATAGCCCGGCCGGTAAAAAGAATCCCACAACCGATTAAGGATTTTTACACTGTAAAGCAGACATTCCAACTCTCCCGATTTTACCGGGAGTCTCCCGAAAATTAATGCAATCTCCCGGTCTCCCGATTTTTATCAAATTCTCCCGATTTTTCAGAATATTCAGGAAATATCATAAAAAATTATAAATATACTGTTTTTAGCGACATAATAGTCTGTCTCGGACCTTTTTTGAAGTTACTTTATGGCAATTTATAGGATCATTTATAACAACATAGTCCCAAAATGCAGGAAACGCCATTTCAGAAGACTGAATTTTTATTATTTTTTCCCAGAAGAACTATAGATCTCGAACTAGATTTCAATTCACTGAACAGTCTCCCTAAATTTTACCTCCAGTAGTTGGAACGGTCTGGACTAAACCGAAATAAATTTTTAAACCGAAAAGGTTTCTCTAAAACATTCAATGTGCCGAAAATTTGGCTAGTGAAATACCGGCGGGTTCGTTCCTTATTATTCTGTGCCGGCGGTTTTTGCTAATTTGCATTATTGTCTCAATATCACAAAGTCGAAATTCCATGTTAGCAAGCAATATAATTGTACAAGTTATATCACAGTTGCAGGCTAGTCATAATTACAACATGGCCGCAGTTTTGAATCTTTGAATTTTGAAGTTTTGAGCCGAAAAATGACTCATGATTCAAAAAATGACAATGATTCAAAATCATTTGAATCTTTGAGTCATTTGAGTCGTTTGAGTTAGACGAATAACGAAGTAACTAAATAAGTCGCGCGCAGCGGGTAATCTCAAAACAGCCCAACAGCCTGTAATAGTGTATAAATGCAGACCGGGAGTTGGTTTTTGACAGCGGTCATGGGCTAGAAACAGTTGATGTGGGTGGTTAGGACTTAGGATCAGTTTCAGTCGTGCGGTTATGGTTATGAGGTAGTCATTTGAATCTTTCCTAGAACGGAGGAAAGCCATTTTCCGAGAGACTCTCATGGGCGTACCGGCCTACATGGGCGTACTGTGACCCCCCCCCCCCCAGGATTAGGCCCATACGCCCATGGAGACTCTAAATTAAATTTCCGAAAACCTCCTAGAACTCTGTGTATAGTTAAAAAGAGTCAAGTATAGCCGACAGATCTGACAGTTTCTATTGTGAAAGCTAGTGGTGACGTTTTTGTAATCCGCGTTAACCAAAGTTTAGTGATTAGTGAATGTGCGCGTGTGCAACTGGCTAAACAGAGTACAGACCAAACTAACGACTCGGCAAAAATAACAAAAAGTATTTGGCAAATTACCCTGGTTGCCAGAAGTTATTGTTATCGCCAAATTAGCCTGGCTCACGACCATAGAAATAATAGATACTCTATTTCTATGCTCACGACCCTAAAAATATAGCTACACTATTTTGTACAGACTAGAAACCCATGCATTGAGTTTTTTTTCTGAATATACACGAATTTTTTTGACAAACTATTTATTTTCAGTATTCTATACCATATGCAAATCTGAAATAACTCCTATACGCAGGCTAACTCCTATAGCTATACTGCCATGGTGTATAAAAAAAACGAGACATTTATTTGATTTAAGGAGGCTCCCTACAGTTCCGTGCGGGATGTTCGCGGGACAAGTACGTGAACTATCCCACGCAACTGCATGATCAAAACAAAACAAAAATTGACCATGCTTTTTTAAAAATAAAGCTATTTCTGAAAGGTTTCTAATGGAAAAAAGCGTTGAATAATACTTCGTTTTGAGTGCCAAATCACTTGCGAGTCTATACAGCAATTCTACATATGATACGAATATCACTAGACCAAAAAATAGCTACGAAACAATATTTTAAAATTTTTTTATACACTGTCAACTGACTCAACTGTATAAAAACATTTGCAAAATTACATACAAACGTTTAAAATGTTGTTTACTTCTCAAGAAAACGTTCACGTTTTCGGTCGTGTTTCTACAAGATTAAAGTGATTATATGTAAACAGAAAAATATTTCAGTTTCATAGCCTAATTGTTCATTTTTAGCAAAAAGTACAAAACCAAACATGAAACAAAAAACACGTCCACCTGTTAATAGGCTGTTACAGCTCATAGATTAAGTAAACGGCAGGATTCAATTAGCTTCAACCTTGTTTTCATCGATTTAATCCTTCACAATAATCCTTGGCTGTCCATAGCACTCAAATAAATCGAAAAGTTGACAAAAACAAAACAGTAAAAACAACATTGCGGCTCGATTTTGCTGAATGAAAACTCGTTCTGCGCCCGCGTACAATCTTTTGCTAGTCAGCGACGCTTTTCAATAGGGGAATTTCTCGAGTTACACGAGGCTATTTTCTAACTTTATTTGCATTTTACTCATTAGTTTCATCGGTGACCTATCTTCAAATTTTGACCACGAATTTATTATGCGGTAAATTTTATAAATTTCAAATTTAAAAAAAATCTGTAGTGTGGAAATTTCGCAATAAATTTTTCGCTTTTAAAAAAATCGCACATTACAAAATTTTTTTAAACTTTCACCACAGTTGCAGAGCATCATTCCTTATTGATATATGAAATAAAAAAGATAGGTCACCGACATCGTTTTTGAGATAGCGGCACATTTATGGGTTAAATTGGAAGGCCTTATGCTGTCGTCATGTTGCCATGGGAACATTGACATCGTCGAAATCTACTTCGAAATATTCGTTAGTTGACCAATATTGCCACCAAGTCGAAAAGAATTAGCGTTCTGCACGTATAAGCCTGTTTTACGGAATTATTGTTTAAACAAGAATAACTGTAGGGAGCCACCTTAAATTAATTAATAAATTAGACCATGTCAATTAACTATTTAATATTATTATTTATTGAAAATAATTCAAGACATTTGATTGGCTAAGAGCTGTCGGTGAAATCGTCATATCCGCTCGGTAGCTGTCCAAATTTGGAGTTGTGACATCACCGTAGAATATTGAAAACAAATATACCACGTTTGACGTAATTTCGTAGTATATTGAAAAACAATGTAACATGACGTCACGTCAATTTAAGCGCCTTATGCCAAAAGAGGGAAAATACAAATGGCTTCCTCAAAGGAAAGATTCGTCGACCTTTTTTGTGTATTCCGACAAATAAATAATAAAACAATTATTGAATTCGGTTCTCGTAGGATATGAGAAATTATTATGGTTCGGTTTGTGTTATTTACCTCAGCCTTCCACTTCTGAGATAACACAAACCTCGGCCTTAATAATTCCTCATGTCCTACTCGACCTTCCATCAAAAATTGTTTAATAATTGTATTCGACTACACACGTAAAAATATCGACGGAACAAGCTTGTAGCAAGCTTGTTGACAACTTGTAACAAAGTTTGTTATTTTATCAACTTTGACAACTTGAAGAAAGCTTGTTGTCAACAAGCTTGTTCTACAACTTGTTGGTTTGCAGACCTGCAGCAAGTTGTTTAAAGAATGTTAATTTACAAGGAAATATGCCAGTTTAGCTTCCGCTAATCTTCCACTGGACCTATTAAAATTATCTGTACAATTAAAGCCTGATAGGGTACAGTCCAATCTGCGCATGCGCACATAGAAATTTATATAAATGGTACGTTGTCGAATAAAGTTCAAAATTTTGAATACAGACATGTAAACAAATGCTTTGTTTACATACGCACTGTACCCTACTTTAAGTATGTTTACATGCAGTATAATTTACATTTCTATACATAATTACATAAAGTACATATCGATATTTATAACAAATTAAAATTAATATATATCTTAAGAGTTGTTTTTATACATATCTAAAAACAATTCATGGACGTAAGCTTGAATGCTTGAAATGAGCTGGAAAATCTTATATCTGGTGGCAACATATTATAAAAATATGCTCCAGTGTATATTGCAGTCCACTCGTGGTGATTGCTTAGTTTATGGTTTCGTACCCATAAGTCCATATTGGCAGTGCTTCTGGTATGTCGCTGCATGGGAAGCTGTTGACAATGGTTTGAACATATTACTTAAATAGTCTGGAGCCAAGTTATTTAAAGATTTATAAACTAGGCAAACT